ATCGTACCAAAAACAAGTTTTTTGCTATTAACCTAAAACAAACAGGAAAAGATTACAGTTAATTCAAAAGCTTGAAACATTCCTAGTTAGTCCAAGGGATTAAACCTCTAATGTACTGGTATGTACCTAGCAACAACATGCTTTAACATCCACACAAAAAGACATTAATCAAGTCTGGTGCCAGTTCTTTCTATACATACAAACAGGCGTTTCCACTATGCTCCCATGCAAGGTCATTTTTTGCAATCTTTCTGGGACATTGCAACAAGCTTTCCGCCTCCCCCATTTCTCCAAACTCCATGAACCGGCAACAGTTCAAGCATATCGCTGTCTACACCTGCTTTCTCTTCTTTTTCATCAGGATCAGCGTCAGAATTACCAACATTGGGCAGTGAGGCAGCAGAAGTATCACCGACACGGTTCTTAAGGAACTTTGAGGCTTTTTTCTTAGGTTTATTCCCTCCTCCCCCAGCCCCCACATTCTTCTTTGAGTTGACACCATCTGGCTGAGCGACAATTTCACTCTTTGTCTCCGTTGACAAATTTAAGTTAGTTTGTTTCACGACTAAAATCTCTGATTTGCCTATTACACCATGATGCCCTTCCTTTGGTAAGATCTCCACCTTAAGACTATCTGACAAAATGTTCTCTGAGCTTGTGATACCATTACCATCACACTACTCTATGCCTTTCTTTGAACTTTTCTTGCTTTTGGAACGACCATTGTCAATGCTCAAACCATTTTTAACAGAACCATTCTTCCCAACGGTGCAATTATGAATCTCAACAAGCTCTCTTTGCTTCTCAGCACTGGGAGAAAGTCTAGCTAGTTCAAAGACAAGATGTGATAAGCCAAATTGATGCACGTAGGCAAGATACTCTTAAGTATCAATTATATCCCGGAGGTACTCTGGATATTAATTTAAATGCACAGAATTTTTCCTCATTAAATTCCAATGCTGCACTAATTTTTTCCACTAGAGCCTTATTAGAAGATTGAACATACTCAACCTTAAGCAAAGGTGAGGCACTTCTAGACAGAGAAGGAGCACTGGAAAGAGATTTGTGAGAGGTTCTGTCTACAGGATTTGGAGCCACAGTACCTTGACTGACCTTGCTGTTACTATTTGAAGTCCTAGATGAACTTGCAAAATCTGAAGAGACAACAAGTCCATTAGTCTTTGATGGTCCAACCTGAGCAAAGCTCCGGCTTTCTCTGGGATGAACTCAGAGAACTGGATGGAGATAAAACCTCAGAATCTGAAACGGGCCTTGAGTGGTAAGAAAAACTAGCTAATGAGACAGGATGACTGTTTGCTGCTGGCAATTGAGGACTTCTACCATATTTCGGCAATGCAAGCAAGTAGCCATTGTATTCCCACTCAACCCACCCAAACCATTTCTGGATCTCTGTTGGTTGCTGCTTGGAGGCATCGGAAATGGAGGAAAAGGGGTTTCTTTCATTGGTACACTCCTAGAGTTCTGTCCTAAAACATGATTATATCTTGAAGATGGCTCAGAATATGTGGAGGTTAATGACTAGAAAGGGCTAACAATTATATCAATTTCATGTTCCTCTCTGGGAGTACAAACTGTTTGGGCATTTGATGAAATATCACAAGGCCTTTCAGCATTGGCTGTCAGATGGCTATCTACAATGGGCAAGTTCATTTGATAGCTTGATGGATTCGATCGACTAACATGCCGATAATGTTCATTAATTTGCTGAAACCGGAAACTCGTAGGTATCTGGATGTAAAAGATGAAAGAGGCATGTTGTAAATGAAGAAAGCAGAAAATGCCAATGACATTGGTAACGTCCAACAATTAAAAAGATTGAAACACACCTGAAGTACAGCACTACGCTTAGAGCGAGACAAACACCCTCCATGTTCCATGGCATTATACCTCCACCGATATCAGAAATACACAAGTCTTCTTAGTAGTCACTTAGTACATCCAGAAAACATAAAAAACAAACTCTAAATATTGATAGCCAAAAGGAAAAGATGCATCATTAAGACTAATAGATATCACCTTTAATTCGGATTCAATTGCAAAAACAATAAACTTTTTTGCAAGGCAAGCCTCATCTTCGCATAAGAAATGTTCTTGATGAAAATGGATATGAGACATAAAGTTTGGTATGTTGATTAAAAAACAAAGCAATCTCGACATATAATGAAAAAAAAGCGAGTAAGACATATGAAAACAAAATATAATCAACCTCCAAGTTATCTTAACTGTTGAAGTATTCATATTGTTCAGGATGTTGCCTGCATTGAACAAAAAACAAAATGGACATACACAAAACGCTAAAATCATGAAAGCCTTTTTAAGGGAAAAATGCATGGGTTACCTTGGGCATATGTGGCAAGTAAAATGCTCAGTAGACAAATGCAAGTAAAGCTCATTATCTCCATAAAAAGGATTCTCACAGAACTCACATATAGGATGTCCTGTAAATCCACCTCTTTCACTTTCACTACCATCAACCACCGAGTCCCCCGTCCTCACATGTTGAGTCAATTGTGCTCTATTCTATAACTTCTGCTCACTTGTAAATATCTGGTTCAAAACTTAATCGAGTCAGGGAACACAAGCATGCCTGCTAAAGCAAAGACCATGTAAGAACGAAAATTTTTCTTTGACATGGGACAATCAAATCCTACCGCACATTCTACATAATAATCTCACTGAGCTCATTTCAATACCATTTCTAGATCTCATGTTCTAACACTCCATTGATGTTCATTTCTTTAAATACCAAGCTGAGAAGCAAAGGTTAACAATGAATCAACTCTCACCTTCCTACCTTCCAAACACAGACCACACATAAACAGCCTATGCTTGTGAAACAAATGCCCCTTCAATTGCTCAACGCTATTAAACTCTTTTGACCTTCCATCCTTCTTGTTGCAAGCATTGCATGATAACCTACACATAGCTTTAATCATCTTATAATGATCAAAATCATCAAAATAAGCCTTTGTCCCTTCATGATACCAACACTCCCCTACTTTACCCTCTTTTCCATTAACTCCACCTAAACCCTTCAAGTCACTTATCATCCTCGTATAATCCCCTAATGCCTACAAAAACCAACACCCAAAAATTAAAAAGACCAAAACTTTACAGTATAAAAGTCAAAACCCAGAAATTAAAACCATCATAAACAACCAAAACTTTTCAAAATATAATAATCAAAACCAGAAATCAAAAGACAGTTTATGTAATAATCAACCTTAGTGACAAAGATGGTGTTGGTTTCCGATTTGCAAATGGTTTCTGATTTGCAAATGCAGCAATGAAAATCATTGCAGATGAAACGAAGACGAATTATGCAAGTAGAGCAGACTTCTTTACGGAGACATGGTCCATAAGCAACCCATTCAAGGGTATCAGCACAAACAGCACAGGTATCATCCATTTTTTGATCAGTCGAGTGAGAATTTGATGGAAAATTATGAATACATCAAAACGGTTTTTTTACTGTTTTGATGTTGCTATCAATGACCATGGAAAGGTGAGAGCTTTTCGCCTTGGATGTAGTGTAGCTTTTTTGTGAAGAAAGCAGAGAAAATTAGGCTCCTTTTTTTTGGTGTTTTCTCAGGAACCACACAGAAATTGATCGAGAGTTGCAAGAGAAACGGACAGACAAGGGCAGCAAATGTGTACGGGTACATTATGTAAGGACGCCAAGTCGTTGATGTGATTACTTGACTCAAGGATTTGGATTTAATAAATTTGATTAATGATGTTTGAGATTCTGAGTTTTGACAAAACATGTTGGAAGATTTACTTGTATGGATATGATGAAGATTGATTACCAAATATGGACGCCCATGTTTTTAAATTTTAGTTGAACAGAAGTCCAGGAGGAGTGTTTCCACCAATTATCTCTCATCCATTGGTTTCATCCACAGCATGTATGGGATTTGCTCTTTGAAAGGTTGAAGCATAGTGATTTTCACATGTAAGTCTCTTTTGGCATTGCAGTAAAATTTTTCTTTTAAAAAATTTTTGAATATTAATTTTTTTTTTGTGTTTATGATTTTTTTTTATATTTTAAGTAAAAAATATTATGAAAAATAATTTTTAATACACTCAAACAAACTCAAATCTAATTTAAGATTTTATTCGAATTAAGGTTTGAATTATAAAAATTTTAAGTTATTTATGTTTATAAATCAATTTAAATTTATTATTTTTATCCAAACATAGTTGTTTCAAAATTTTTTAATTTTGACTTGGATCTAACTAAATTTAAATGAATTGACAAAATCATAGTTTAACTTATTATATTATTTGAATTTAAATAAATCAATATAAAAAACAATTCAAATCAAAATCCATCATGAATCCCATCATATTATTCTGCCAAACAAAGTTTAAGTATATTCAAACCTCAAAGATTTTCAAAGGCAATGAAAGGAAGAAAGATTTTCAATTAATATATATGTGAATAAATTAAACAATTATTCTTATGTTTATGTACACAATATAATTAATCTTCCATTTATATATATGAAATCTTTATGGCCAAATTAAAGATATATATGGATTAATCTAAGCATACTAATATTCAATGCATCTTTTGTAATGTTTTGAATATAAAGACATTAGAAAATATAATAAAGTTCTTGAAGGTTTAAAAGTTGGAATAAATGAATGAGGGGTATAGTAATAATTGAATAAAATAATGATAATATAAATAAAAAAAAATCTGAATATTTGAGAGAACAAACCGTGAGAGAGAAGAGAGAAATAAGAAGAAGAAGAGAAAAGAGAGAAATTAAAAGGGAAATAGAAAGGAGTTGATGAAATAAATAACAAAGGTAAGATTATGATTAAATGTTTATAATATGTTTTCTTTAGCTTTAATTTCACTTTTGATGAATGTAAGGGCTTCTGGAGGTTTTTTAGCCTCGTCAATGCCGGTTCTGTGCCTTTCTCTGTTCAGTTTATAGGTTGCTTCCTCTGCCATTATGAATTTCTTTGGCTTATAATAAAAGAGACATTTACTCATTATCAACCCATCAAAATCCTGCTATATCATCATTTGAATTCAGAGAGTACTTTTTTGGTTCTATGCTTCGAACAAGAGAGTTTAGCAACTGAGTAGAAAGATGATGATAGTTCGAGCAAGGTCATCTCGCTGTACCTGAACATTGCATTAGTTTTTGCTGAAAATCTATGTGAGAAGAGAACAAGGCAGACAAAACATGGTGAAGTGTGGAAGTTGAACAACCATCTTATTCCACCATGAAATTCATTTTTTCTGCAGTTCATCCTTTTACAGTGTTACATCCGTATTCTCTACTTACAATCTCATGAAGTTTCAAGGTGACAAGGCAGCTCTTCTCTCCCGTCTTCTTGTTTTTAACTAAAACTCAAAACTCCACATGTATTTCTTATACTGTATGGAAAAAGCATACAAAACCTTCAAAATAAAATAAATAAGCAGAAAAGGCAAGAAAACTACTGGAAGACTCTTGGGTTTTCGAGCTGGTGGCTAGAACAAGCAAATTATTGATTACAGGCCATGCATGTCATGATTTTACACTTGGGGCTTCTGATATTTCAGGGGCTTCACAACCTCCCTTGTAAAGTGAGGGTCATCCCTTCCAAAGTGACCATAAGCAGCTGTCTTCAAGAACCTGCCATTGCCACCCATCTTAAGATACAAGGTAATGGCGATCATTCCGGGTCTGAAATCGAAGTTGTCCTTCACGATGCTGAGGATTTCCTTATCTGGGATCTTTCCTGTGCCACATGTATTAACAAGAACTGACAATGGTTCGGGCACACCTATAGCATAAGAGACTAAAACAATGCATCGGCGAGCAAGACCACTTGCAACAATGCTCCTGGCTGCCTGCCTAACAATATAGGCTCCACTCCTGTCTACCTTGGTAGGGTCCTTGCCGGAGAAGGCACCACCACCATGTGCACCCCAACCACCATAAGTATCGATAATAATTTGACGCCCAGTAAATGCAGCATCACCGTGTGGATTGGGGTGAAGTATGGTTTTCTTATCAAGGTTCTTCTCAGGGAAGACTGGCTTGATAACATGCTCTTTGAGGTTATCAGCAATCTCATCATTGGCAACAGTTTCATCATTATGTGTGGAAATTAGAACAGTGTGTACGCGAACTGGAACCCTAATGGCGCTTCGTGAGATGACCACGCACACCCTGTGCAATATCAGGGCTCTGCTGCTCAATGTTAACTAAGACATTGCATTTGTCTGCTTGAAGACCAGCATCATCAGGAATAAATCCTATCGAACGACAAGTGTTGCGCACAATCTTCTAATAATCTACTTGATTTTGCTTTTGTGGTGATCTCTCCAAAGACCATAGCCATGTTCGTCTTGGTACAAGTCTCACACGCAACCTTGCTTTCTGGATCTTGCTGAAGGCAGGCATCTAGGATTGCATCAGAAATTTGATCACAGAGCTTGTCAGGTGACCCTCATTCACATATTTTTAGACTACTTGTTTGCTTGTTTTTGCAGTTAAAAAATATTTTTGAAATTTTTTATTTATTTTTATATTTTTAAATCGTTTTAATGTTAAAAATAAATTTTAAAAAATAAAAACATATTATTTTAATATTTTTTAAGTAAAAAGTATTAAAAAAACAACCAATATTAGAATCCAGACACTTCCAATTTTAATATTAACTTCTACTTAACTCCAAGTCTATTAACTTGTTTTAGTCCTCACAATCATGTTGAAAGGGTAAGCAATTTTTTTTCTTAATTAACGACTGAGCTATAAATTGAAAGTTTTTAATTTGCTCTCTGAACTTAAAGCAGGAGGGAGATTCTGTTATTGTTATCTTGAAATAGATTGTATATTTTGGATATTTTGTTAGAAAAACTATGACTATATATGAATGCATCCGCATATTTGTATATTTTGGGATAGAAGTTGGCATAATTAGAACAAAATTGATCTGGCAATCCTGGGTGCTATAATTGAAGTTGCTACTAAAATTTGGTCCCAAATACAGGGAAAAAAGGAGAGTAATGAAAGCTTAAGTTAAGGGTGGAGTAACAGGTTAAATAGCAATGGAAATTGCCATAAATCAATTTAATACATGAATTATTTGAAAAAAAAAAATAATTCATTCACTAATTGTGAAACATTTCCGCTTATTCAAATTAAACATATTCATTACACAAGGCAATTTGATACCAGAAGCTTCATTTGCTCTATCAACGGTTAAAATGGCATCAAAGGTAACTAAGACTCAGCCTGTTGATTGAAGGGAAACTCGTCGTGGCACTGATTGCTAACTTCAAGTGTTGAGAATGTGTCCATTCCCAATTCAAGCACAACCTTACCTCCAGTCCTCTCACATTGCAGAAGGACCATATTGAGATTATAACATCAATTCCTGATAGTTTATATATATATGTATATATATATATATATATATATATATATAAACTATCATGCTTAAATACTCCATGTTCCATGCATTCCAAATACATTTGGTACAAGCAGGCAATCGATGATATTCTCGTTACAGATTGAGTCACGTACTATACATTAGTTTTGATGCTAGTTTTTCTTGGGTTGTTAGGTTTCTTACGATATCATCAAATCTGAGAGAGACCAGATATTGAACTTGTACATGAAATTGGCGGTTTACTTCTTTTTTGGCTTTTTTTTATTGGCTCTTGGAAAGTCTTTTAGGGCACATGAAAAGGGGCCTCTTCCCTATCTGGTTCATCATCTCATCAGCACCTTCACTGCTATCCAATAACGAATCAGTGTACCCACCCCTAACTAACGCCGCCTTAAGTGATGAGTGGGCTAAAGTAAGTAGTGGTTTCACAATATGGGGAAGTGTCGTGTCTGGGCCCTTATGAACCACTCGATCCCTGGACTAGGTACCACTAGTTACCGAAATAAGTAAGATAGAACATGAAAGAAACACAACACACAAGAGGAGCTGGGATATACCTAATATATATCCGAAGATTGGTAAGGTTAACAGAACCCAACGCAACACACCTTCCTACCTATCGACCCTTACCTTAGTAGATCATGGTCGGATAGTCGTAGTCAGGGGCTTGGTAAGGAATGAAGAGCCACTTTGTTTGATGGAGAAGTCTTTATCACTTCCTTAATACTGTAACTTCATACTATATATATAGTCCGCGGTCCTCATGCGGAACACGAGATACCCATATCGAAATTTCAAAACCTTCCAATCCACGCATTGAACAAGGTCGAAACGGATCTCTATATTGTATTGGGCATTGGAGGGTGTGTAGCAGATTGATCGTTTCGTTGCAGATAACAGGGTAGGGGTCACTATCCGGCCCGGATTTCTTACTGAAGAATCTTGCTGGGCTGTATCCTCCGCATACATAATAGTGTAATCAGGTCGAAAAGGTAGGTGTTTGATTGAAGCTTTCTTTCCGCTTGCATATTATATAAGAATCTCTCATTACTGCCATGAAGCGGGACAATCGCTAAGAAAACAACCCCTGCATAGACCCAAGATTTCTCGTTGATCTGGGTTGGATGAACGGCATTATATGTTGTCAAGAACCCACCTCCGAAATAATACGAGTTGAGAAGCAGTTTTCTCGGCTCAGGTTCAAATGCAGGAGGAAAAGACGTCATTAACAAACAAAATCGAGTAAGAGAGTAATGCGGTGAGCGTGGATCGAACACGCGACCTTCAGATCTTCAGTCTGACGCTCCCCCAACTGATCTTCAGTGATGAAGCTTTACACTAGTTTTGGGGCTGGAATTTATTCTAGGGGACCTGTGATGGAAATGAAGTAGATCCGAGACGCTGGTAATCTCATTATTGAAACTATAATCACTAACAGAGCTGTCTCTATCAAAAACAGATAAAAAAAGATAACGTGTTCTGCAAAAACCAATTGAAGTAGGGATGAGCTAGTGTATCAATTACTAGAGTAGTATTGTCTCTCCATTCTTTAGGCATCTTCCAAACACATCCATACAATTCTTCTTGCTCTCTTCATCATCTCTAAAAATAAAGTTTTAAGCCAAGATTGAATTTTTAAAATTTAGAGGGAGTGGTTACCTATGAAATAAAAAAAAATAAGGGATTAAAATCAACTTTTTGAAAAAAATTCAAAGTTATTACCTATTTTACATGTTTTTTGCACTTTTGTCACCTGTCTCTCAACTCAACATTCTCTTCAAAAAAAAAATGGAATTGGATGTTAATTGATGCTAAAAAAAGGTTTAACTGTACCAAAAATAAATAAATTCAATAACCAATTTTTCGTTTGTTTTAATCACCGTTGAAATCTAAAGTGACAACGAATATAAAAAGCAACCGTTGATCCAGGTTTTGATTTTCCGCTTGATGGACTATCAGGCCCTGTTTCTTCCTAAACTGGGTCGACAGAAATGGACCGAACATATCAAATCTGGGCCACGTGAGCCCTAATTTGACACAGGAAACGAGACTTCCTAAACGGTTCGAAAAAAACCCATTTTGGCCCACGAGGCGTCCCCCTCGCAGTAGGGTTTCGGACCTCACCTCTCTCTCTGTCTTCCACTTTCAGTTACCAGCAGGCGGCGGATCCCAACCTAAAAAGTCTTCCCATCGTGTTTCCGTGTCTCTCCATTCGCATCGGGAAATCCCATCCTTCTAGTTTCGTCATTTCTTATTCACCAACCAGTCCACTGGGATTTTAAAACTCAATTTTCACTCCATTCCCACCGGAAACTTCCATCTTTCTCATATTCCAGTTTAGTTTCGGCATTTTTTATTCACCAATCAGTCCAATGGATTTGTTCTCACTTATCAATCTGTTGATGCTTCTCCTCTCCAGAAAGGATAACGATGTTTTCTTGAGTTTTAGCCACCATGACATTGGCAAGAATTTTGGTGATCATCTCTACAAAGACCTCAATTCTGCTGGGATTCGCACTCTTAGAGATGATGGTGGAATCTACGCAGGACAAAAGTCTGATATCAAGAAACCTATACAGGAATCCAGGATATCGGTTGTTGTGTTCTCTAAAGGCTATGCTTCTTCAACAAAGTGCCTGGACCAGCTTGTGCACATCATGGATGCCAGGAATAAAACTGGGCTCGTTGTGCTTCCCGTTTTTTATAACGTTGATCCGTCGGAGGTCAGTGAACAGAAAGGGTTGTTTGAAGAAGCATTTGCTAAACACGAAAAGAGCTTCCATAAGGAAATGGCTAGAGTGGAAAGTTGGAGGGCCGCTCTTAAAGAAGCCGCAGACCTGGCAGGAATGGTGCTGCAGCAAGACAGGTACATAAGTAATTGCATAATTGTTTTACCTTTTCAGATCTTTGCCTTCCAGTTTTTTTCTGGATAATTTAACTCAGCTATCATCTAGAAAGGAAACACGAATCCTATCGATTTAAAATGGGTCAGTCTTAGCCTTTCAAGACCAGATTTGATTTGTTCTTGGATCCAAAGGTTGCGCAGCACTTTCTTGTTGTGTTTGTTGATTGTCAAGGAGTAATCCCTAGGACTGATCGTGCATATAAAAGAATAATAGGGACCACAGTGTAGAACAAGCTCCCCATGAACGCTCCCCAAAAAAGCAACTTTTTAAATTTTTTTGTGTCAATCTAATCCTTTTTCTTTGATTTTTTTTTAATTCAACCTTATAGATAATGGGTTTTTTTTCGTAATAGCAATATGCAATGCAATGAAAAAGTAGTATATTTTTTTTATTTAAAAAAAGCAATATTTTTCATAGTGCATACATAAAAAACAAATTATAAAATAAAAAACACAAATACTTTAGTATAGTTCAATCCATAGTTAGATCACTCCTTTAAACGTTAGAGGTCCCCGTTTTGCAGCCACACATGAGCGAAGAAACTTCCTAGACAGATTAAAAAAAAACCCAAACTTTGGCTTTTCTTCTTTCTTCCAACTCAGAATCACGTGAGATCTGCATCTCTTCCAACACAAAAATCTTTGTTTCTTTCGACATATTTCTCTTCGTCAAACCGATGGCTTTCAACCTGGTGACCCAAATTTTGATTCTTCTCTCGTTGATGCCTGGTACTTACGATGTGTTCTTGAGCTTCCGCGGCAAAGACACTCGCAGGAACTTCACCGACCACCTGTACAAAGCGTTATCTAGAGAAGGGATTCCCACTTTCAGAGACGACGATGGAATACGGAGAGGAGAGAACATTGAGTTAGAAATCAAGAAAGCAGTTCAAGAAACAAAACTATCCATTATTGTGTTTTCTAAAGAGTACGCTTCTTCGAGATGGTGTCTTGACGAGCTAGAGATGATCATGGAACGTAGAAGAACTGTTGGGCACATAGTGTTTCCAGTTTTCTACGATGTTGATCCATCTGAGGTGGGGACCCAAACAGGGAGGTATGGTGAAGAGTTTGCTAAGCATGAGATACATTTCAAGGACCGGGTGGAGGGGTGGAGGAAGGCTCTTAAAGAAGTTGCATACATGGAAGGAATGGTCTTAGAAGACGGGTACTAGCTTCTTTTTTTCTTCGAAATTTATTACATCGGTAGCTTATATTTTTGAACCAGCTAAGCATTTAGGAATACTTAATTTGACCTTGATCATTCGATACACGAACATCACGGTTGAGCCACGTAGCTAGGCGGTTGTTTTTTCTTGGTAGTTAACATGTGAGAAGACATTCAATTACCTGGAACCATGATTGCCAACTATCCTAGGGGAAAAGAGTTTGACGAGAATGAAAGAAATCTTGCAACTTACTGGAGAAACGATGACATTGAAGGGATGTTGTTGGACATTTCAGAAATTATTTTTGAAAGTAAATTAAATTCCAGAGTCTTCGCAAGGAAATCCAAACTCAGATTGCTCAGGATTTATAATTCTGGTGTTCAAAATAACTGTAAAGTGCACCTTCCTCAGGGCTGGCGTCAAGTTCCTTTCATAGGAGATGAGATGCTGCACTGGGATGAATAATTGTTTTTGGTTCTTTATGATAACTACAAGACGCTATCATTTAGAGAGGAAACAAGAATCTTATCGATTTAAAATATGCAAGCCTTAGCAATTGTGAGCACCTATCTATGCCAGATTTTTACAAAGGCTATAAATTAACCTTGAGAGATTGAATCTTCAATTTTGTTGTGCAAGTTTTAATATGGTCAAGGTTACTTCACCAATTCAATACCGGGACAAGCTTATTGATTTGGATCCAAGAAACTGCACATGCCTTATCTCTCTTCCGAGTAGATTTTGTTAAAGATTTCCTGTCTCTTAACCTCTGTAGCTGTTCAAATGCCAATAAAAAGCATGCAGTTGGTACCAACACATTGAAAACGATGCCTTGAACTTCAATTGTCATGGTGCTAGATTGCTAATAATCTCAGTTAACTGTCTGTTTTATGTCCAGAACCTGTGGCTGTGTTTGATATGACGTATATGGAAAGGATGTTTTGATAACCCTTTTCATTTCGTGAAGCAAAAACATTGAAGCCATTCTAGAAATGCCAAAAAATAAACGAAAGAAACCTAACGCTGCCTTGATTTCATTACTGAAGCTATAATCACAAACGTTTCTGTCTTTTTCAAAGAAAGAAAAAACAAAGGTGTTCTGCATAAGTGCACTGGTCGATTTAGAACTCTCCCTCCTAAACCAATTGAAGGAGGGATGAGCCTGTGAATCAATTGCTACTGTAGTGTTGTCTCTCGATTCATTAGGCATCTTGGAAACACATGCATGGAATTCTTCTTGCTTGCTTCAGCATCTCCAAGTTATTGATAATTGTATGACATGTTTATCCGTACTTAACTATCATGGGCATTCAACTTACAAGTTCATTTAAACAGTAAGGGGATCTGAGGATGATAAACAAGGGCTGGTTTGTTAATTAGCCTCAATTCAAATGTAATTATTTTTGTTTTTCATGTTCTTTTAAAAAAGACCAACCAAGCTCATTTCAATCCTACTCTTAGGATCGTGCATTGAAAGTACTCTTAGGATCGTGCATTGAAAGTTTGCGATGGTATATCCACACAAACACCAGTACTAGAAATCATGGTATCACCTCGTACTGGACATTTAATGTTCATCATATATAGTCTGGTTAAGTTGCATAAGGACAGCCATAAAACTAGAACATACTGAAACAACCGCTAAAAAACGACTTTCAAGTTATAGAGCACCTTTAAATCCCCCACGACAGCCTCCATGAATGATAATAAATCAGCTTATCTGTGCTTTTAGTAAAAAAAAAAAAGCTTATTCAATTAGTTAGTTGTGCTTAATTTCAGAAACTGTCATTTTTGTACTTCTTAGTAAAAAAAAGATGATTCATGGAAACGTAGGTCATCTTTTTATCACTCGGTCTATCTACGTAGCATTCTCTTTGGAACTTAATTTGTTCACAATTTGATTTGTTCTTGGTTCGAGCTGCCTTAATCATCATGTTAAGAGGTTATGCAGCACTACGTTGTTGTGTTTATTGATTGTCAAGGAGTATTCCTTAGGACTCATGCATGTTGATAAATGACACACCGTAGTGCAATAGAGCCGTTTTGTTCCCTGTTTATTGAAAAATAATTCATTGACTTCTGAAAAAATAGTAGAAAAATAATGTTAAGATCTACAAGTCTTTGCAAACATGGACCTCTCTCAAGGACTCAAGTCCCTTTTCTGAGTAGATGAGGTATTTACATAGGGATGGATATCTCTGAGATGTTTGCCTTGTAATTAAATTTTGATCGGAACCCTTTTTGAGCCTGAACTTGAGCTATCATCTAGCAAGGTTAAGCTAGTCTGGGAAGGAGACCAGAATCTTGGCAGTTTAAAAAGTTCAACCTTGGCAATTCTAGACCTGCAGAGGATAGATGAAACCTTGAGACGTGGATTTGGTACAAGTTAATTTGGTGGTGTTTCTTAATTTGTTAATTCAGCATCCACCCATTTGCATCGATGTATTCCAAGCTGAATTATTTTTGTAGTATATGTCTCTTCTTCATTGAATGCCTCGCAAAACTGAAAAAAACAAACTTTTATAATCAACGAACTTACCATTGATTTTATGAATGCCTCGCAAACCACAATCGAAAAAAATTCATAACATAAGCTGTGCAATCATCAAAGATTAAATTAATGTATGTAAAAGTCATCACACAGGTTTATAAAATTACGCTAATATTAATTAGTTCTAGAAAGTTTATAGTGTATTGCCCCGTGTTTTTCGGGGGGTTAATATATTTATATTTTAAAAAAGTTAAAAATATAGAAATAATTTGTGCTCGGAAAAACTCCCAGCAAGTAAGCTAGGGACTTGTCTTAATGATCCGCATTAGTAGAAAGCAGCTCATGAAGTATAAATTCAAATATTATAAACAGATAAGTTAAACCATTTAACTAACTTCACTGTCAAACTTAGGAGAGTTGGATTACAGATCATACGCAATTCATGCTGAATATTATAATAAAACTATAGTATACTAGTTTAAAGGATTTCATAGTCCTATATACACCCTGAAATGCCACTAGCTGTGGATTTCGGCTTCCTTTGTAATGCTCCAAGGCGCAGACATCACTCATGCGATGCTGGCAACAATGGCAGCAGAGCTATCCTACTATTCAAGCTTCAAGCTAGCATATTTGGATAACAGCTCCTGCATGAAATTGGTTAACTGATGTTTAGAGACAATTTCAATTATCTTAGTCGTCATTAACTTAGCATGCAAATTGAAGAATACCCGATCTTCAGCTTCCATCCCCTCGGCGTTTTGCTTCTGAGCCCACTTCTTTGCATTTCTTTCCAGCAAAACATATTTCATCACCTGCAACAAAAACCAAATCAGTGTAGGATCAAATCAGTTTTACCGAACTCCTGAGAAGCGTTTTCCTTTTGCCATCCTATGTACAATTCATGACGTTACGAGACTGAGATACAGAGCACTGTACATCCAGTAATTTTGTTTTGGTGGTCTGGGATGGGTAGAGTTCTGCTCTGGCTTCCTCCTGGTTCAAGCACCGATCAACCTGAAAAAATAGAAAGAGAAAGAATTAGAGGTTGTTACATAAACATAGAATTGACTTCTTTAGGATGCCAAAATTTCAAGCATTACTTGTCAATATATTCTCTTTTATTTCATTTTTTTAATAGCTATTAGTCTTTCTTTTATAGTTGTCAGTATATTCTCCTTTTCTTATTCTATTTCTTTCATAGTTGTCACTATATTCTTCTTTCTTTGTTTAATTTCTGTCATAGCTGTATATCCCTGGATTCTCTCTAAAGATCTCAATTATTGTCTAGGCCTAGTATTAAAGAATCTGATTATGTTTATTAGATGCTAGAATTAAGGGTTTTGATACTTCTTGATGTATATATATATTGTAACTCTCTTAGTGAAAGGAGGACAGAAAACATTTCAGAATTTCTCTTGTATTATCTTGTCATGGTATCAGAGCCAAAATTCTGAAATCAATTCATCTTGTGTCTAGTTCCTTATCTGGTTCTTTTATTCTGTTTTTCTTGGACTTGATCTTTTTGTTCTTGTTTCTAGTTAAATCTTGTCTATGGAACGATCTGAACATTTTATTGTTCGATTTACTGGAAAGAACTATTCTGCCTGGGCTTTCCAGTTTCAGATTTTTGTCAAGGGAAAGGAATTATGGGGTCATATTGCTGGGACAGTTCCTGCACCTGACAGTGAGCAGGAAAAGGAGAAATATGTGAAATGGGAGGTGAAGGATGCTCAGATTATGTCTTGGATACTTGGAAGTATGGAACACTCCATGCTTCTCAATCTCAAGCCTTACAAATCATCTAGAGAAATGTGGGATTACCTAAAGAAAGTTTACAACCAAAGCAATACAGCACGAAGGTTTCAATTGGAACTTGAGTTGGGTCAACTCAATCAAGGTAGTATGTCAATACAAGAATTTTATTCTTCCTTTGTAAATCTTTGGGCTGAGTACATAGACATTGTGTATGCAAGTGTACCTCTTGAAGGACTTATTGTTATTCAAAGTGTGCATGAGACTAGCAAGCGTGATCAATTTTTAATGAAGTTAAGAGGGGAATTTGAAGCAATCAGGTCCAACCTGATGAATAGAGAACCAGTTCCTTTCTTGGATATTTGTGTAGGAGAGCTTCTCAGGGAAGAACAACGGATCATTACACAAGCTGTCTTGGAGCAGAAAGCTCAAAATTCTACTCCAATTCCTGTTGCATACACTGCTCAAGGGAGGTTTAAAGGAGGTAGAAATATGTCAAATGTTCAGTGTTATAGCTGCAAAGGATTTGGGCACATTGCCACTACTTGTACCAAAAAATTCTGCAACTATTGTAAGAAAACAGGGCATATCATCAAAGATTGCTCCATCCGGCCTCCAAAGAAATCTGACCCCGCCTATAATGTCTCGGTTGGTTCCTCCAATACTCCTAGTCCTGGTCAGTCCTCTATTACCCCTGAAATGGTCCAACAAATGATAGTTTCTGCCCTTTCTGCTTTAGGCCTTTCAGGTAACCGAAATTCCATTCCTAAGCCTTGGTATTTTGATTCTGCTGCTTCTAATCACATGACCAACACTGTCTTACCTTTAAATAATGTTAAAAAATATAAAGGTAATCTTCATATTCGTACTGCCGATGGTAATCCTTTGTCTATCACAGCTGTTGGTGATATTTCAGCCCTTCTAAATACTATCTTTGTGTCTCCTAAGCTGTCCACTAATCTCATATCTGTTGGCCAATTAGTTGACAACAATTGTGATGTTCATTTTTCCAAATCTGGTTGTTTTGTGCAGGATCAAGTGTCCGGGAAGATGATCGTGAAGGGACCTAAAGTGGGACGTCTATTTCCCTTGCTTCTATCTCCCTCTCCTATGTTAAATTATGTTGCATGTAATGCTGTTCACTGTGATAATCAGGTGTGGCATAGACGTTTAGGACATCCTAATTCTCATGTACTTCGAGTCTTGTTTAAATCTGGTTTATTAGGAAATAAAAATTCAACTTCTTCTCATAATGATATTGTTGATTGTGCATCTTGCAAACTTGGTAAAAGCAAAACACTTCCTTTTCCATTGCATAAAACTCACACCACCAAACCTTTTGAAATCGTGCATACTGATGTATGGGGTATTGCACCTGTCATTTCTCATGAACATTATAGATATTTTGTTACATTTATAGACGATTTCACTCGTTTTACTTGGGTATATTTTCTTCGATCTAAAAGTGAGGTTTTCTTTGTGTTTAAAGCCCTTCTTGCCTTAGTTGAGACACAATTTTCTGCCAAAATTAAAATTCTGCAATCTGATTCAGGTGGTGAATATATGTCAAATGCATTTCAATTTTTTCTTCAAAGTCATGGGATCATATCACAACGTTCTTGTCCTTTCACCCCACAACAAAACGGTGTGGCTGAAAGAAAGAATCGTCATCTTCTTGATGTTGTTCGAACTCTTCTCCTTGAGTCATATGTTCCTTCTCATTTTTGGTGTGAAGCTTTATGTACTGCTGTTTATTTAATTAATCGATTACCATCTCCTCACTTGAACAATGATTCTCCCTATGTTCGTTTGTTTGGACATGCACCAAATTATTCCAATCTTCATATTTTTGGATGTGTTTGTTTTGTTCACCTTCCTGCACATGAGAGAAATAAACTTACTGCCCAATCCGTCAAGTGTGCTTTCTTAGGCTATGCTGTCACCCAAAAAGGATTTCTTTGTTATGATCCACATGCACGTCGAACTCGTGTCTCTAGGAATGTTATATTTTTTGAAAATCAGCCTTTCTTTTGCACCCAACAGCCTTCTGTATTTCCATCTTTATCTGTTTTACCATCTTTTTCTAAGTCGTCAACACTAATACAAAGGTTTAAACCTGGTTATGTTTATCATAGACGCACTCCTGCTTCTGCTCCTTCTCCAGGTATCACCGAGGTTCCTTCACATCTTCCTGCAACATCTGATCCTGTTCTGCCCATTTCCTATGATCCCCCTCCTCTTCGTAGAAGCTCTAGACCTCACAAACCTCCTGAAAGGTATGGTTTTTCCACTCCTGTGGCTATGTCTACTACTCTCTCTTCTATTTCCATTCCCACTTGTTATAAACAGGCTAGCAAACATGAGTGCTGGAAACAAGCCATGGAGGCAGAACTTCACGCACTTAAGGCCAATCATACTTGGGACATTATTTCTTGTCCTTCACATGTTAAGCCTATTGGGAGCATGTGGGTTTATACTGTGAAACTCAAGTCTGATGGATCTTTGGATAGATACAAAGCTCGATTGGTTGCTCTTGGCAATAAACAATAATATGGCTTCGACTATGAAGAAACCTTCGCACCCGTTGCTAAGATGACTACGGTGAGAACACTTCTTGCTATTGCAGCCTCTAAAGCCTGGCCTTTATATCAGATGGATGTAACCAATGCCTTCTTGCATGGGGATCTTAAGGAAGAGATTTATATGACACTTCCACCTGGTATGTCCATAAAGGCTTCTAATGCAGTTTGCAAACTAAGACGCTCTTTGTATGGGTTGAAACAAGCACCTAGAGCCTGGTTTGAGAAGTTTCGCAACACTCTTCTCACCTTCTCCTTCACACAAAGTCAATATGATTCATCCCTTTTCTTTTACAAGACCACCACTGGTATGGTATTTCTCTTCGTTTATGTTGATGATATTATCCTCACTGGTAATGACATTGGGTTAATCACCAAGCTTCAACATATGTTACATAGTACATTTCAAATGAAAGATCTTGGACATCTCACATATTTTTTGGGGCTGGAAGTTCACTCTAGAGATCATGGTTTGTTCTTAAATCAACATAAATATATTCAGGATCTCATTGAGCTTGCTGATTTAAAGAATGCTACTGCTGTTGATACACCAATGGAGGTGAATGTGAAATACCGAAAAGATGAAGGCGAGCTTTTGCCTAATCCTTTTTTATATCGGCAACTTGTTGGTAGTCTTATCTACCTAACAATTACAAGGCCTGATATCTCCTATGCTGTCCATATAGTTAGCAAATTTATGCAGGCACCTCGACATCTTCATCTTGCTGCAGTTCGTCGTCTTATTCGATACTTAATTGGGTCCCCTACTCGTGGGTTGTTTTTTCCCAAACATTCTACTCTTACCTTGACTTCCTATAGTGATGCGGATTGGGCTGGCTGCCCAGATACTAGAAAATCTATTACAGGCTGGTGCATTTTTCTTGGAGATGCCTTGATCTCTTGGAAGTGTAAGAAGCAGGATTGTGTCTCTAAATCTTCTACAGAGGCTGAGTATGGAGCCATGTCAGCAGCTTGTTCTGAAATTGTGTGGTTACGTGGTCTTATTTCTGAACTTGGGTTCCCCCCTACTGCTCCTACTCCACTTCATGGTGATAATACTAGTGCTATTCAAATAGCTGCAAATCCGGTCTACCATGAACGCACCAAGCACATAGAGGTGGACTGTCATTATATTAGGGAGGCCTTTACTCGCGGTGTTATCACTCTTCCTCATCTCAATACTGCTCTTCAAATAGCTGATGCCTTTACAAAAGCCTTGACACGCCAACGACATAAGTTTCTCAGTCGCAAATTGATGTTGTTCGACCTACCCGCATCAATTTGAGGGGGGATGTCAATATATTCTCTTTTATTTCATTTTTTTAATAGCTATTAGTCTTTCTTTTGTAGCTGTCAGTATATTCTCCTTTTCTTATTCTATTTCTTTCATAGCTGTCACTATATTCTTCTTTCTTTGTTTAATTTCTGTCATAGCTGTATATCCCTGGATTCTCTCTAAAGATCTCAATTATTGTCTAGGCCTAGTATTAAAGAATCTGATTATGTTTATTAGATGCTAGAATTAAGGGTTTTGATACTTCTTGATGTATATATATATTGTAACTCTCTTAGTGAAAAGGGGGACAGAAAACATTTCAGAATTTCTCTTGTATTATCTTGTCAATATACCCATATGACGCACAAATGGCCAACTGCTGACAAAGGGAAATGAAAATCTAGCGAAGAGAACATTTCACGAAACTACGATTGACAGATGATTCTAGGAAATAAAGCAGATATTAATGTATAGGTGATGAAGGATTCAGCCGATTATATTTGTTCTCTAAGCGATAACGCGTGATATCTTGCATTGTGACTAGAGAATAACCTCTTTACTGCAGTTCTATCTGATAACTTTTGAATTATGATCCAGAAGTTGTTTTTCTTAAATCAGGCCAAACGGACTCGTGATTTTGTTTTGCCAGAATGCATTTTTCTCAAATCAGGGCTTCTTAATTTCTCTGCCTTAAATAGATCGAACAGCTTTTAGTCTAGGCCTCACCTGAGTTTACACTTTGCAAGATACCTAAGGAATCGAAATTTTCGATAGGGATTGATACATGCCTTTCCAGTTCTCTACAACATCTGTGATTGTAACGCATCTTTCTTTACCAACTCAAAGATTCCACCGTCGTGT